CCTGCTCTAGTCCTTTTCACAGTCATGGTCACCCCCTCTGTCACTGGTCCTGTCCCAGCTCATTTCCAGGAAATAGGAAGGCCGAGCCTGACCCCTGACCTCTGACCCCACCTCAGCCTGAGTCCTGACCCTGACCTCAGACTGTGCCTGGCTCTCCATCCTTATTGGGTTCTCACCAATGGGCCGTACCCTCGGACCCCTGACGGCAAGCCACGTCTGGACCTCTGACCACCGGACAAGACTCAAACCCGAGCCTCTGACCTGTGGCCTCGGCTCCATGTTAAGGCTCCAGCCCTAGGTCCAGGGTGAATCTGGGCCACCAACCCCTCTCTTCCTCCCCAGGCTGAGTCTCCAAGGCAGCCCAGGTCTAGCGAGGACTGGTCCGCACCTCCCTGTCTGAGCTCCGTCCGGGGCTCACCCCGGCTCAGCCCAGAGGGGGCCACCCATGCTCCTCACCTCACTCAGCCAGCTCCACCCCGAGTTTTGGACGAGCTGACACAGGAGCGCGTCACACCAGGCGACTGAGGACGTGGACGCGCGGAGGCTGGAACCATATGCCATGTCTGGGCTGGATCTGGTTGGCTTGGCCCTTGGGGGCAGAAGGAAGGGAAGCAGACAGGCAGATGGACCCTCGTGTGCGCAGACGCCACGTGGGGGGTGTGCAGGCGCCTGGCCACCTGGGGCCGGGACACGCTCCTCGGGGGCAGAGAGGCAGGCGTGCCCACGCCCCCCACCCCGGAGGACACGCATCATGAAACATGCGACACTCCCTCAATGCCTGCACCTCGTTTTCTTTCTAGCTGCTGAAGCCATATTCCCAGCGGCTCAAAGTGGGTACGGGGTCCGCATCCCAGCTGTCCTTCCCGCCAGCCGTGCGACCAGGGCCACGCGGCTCAGCCTCAGCCCCCGGGTGCCTCAGCCCCTCGTGGGAAAGCCCATGTGATGCCACCTTCCTCGGGGGTTTCATGAGGACAACGTGCCATTGTGGAGGCCGCGGCCCCGCTCAGGCCTGGCAGCCGGCCAGACTCCCCAGGAGAGGCAACTGATGTTTTCTCGGAGTTCAAAGTCCAGCTGCTCCGCGGAGGGTCAGGGGCTCCCCTCCTGCTCCCACACGAGGGCTCCGGGGACACGGTTGGGAAACCCTTGACCTAGATTGCAGGCCGCCAGGAGGAGGGAAGATCGCAGGGGCTGACGATTACGGGAGTTGGGGCGGCAGGCGGTTCGTCGGTGTGGAATTAGGTCACAGAATTCTTAAAACAGAGGAGCCACAGGAGCCCGAAAACCTCAACCTCTCAGGGCCCCCTGCTCCCCCGTTTCCTGGGCCACGAGTGGCGGGACTGACCACGGAAGATGGATTCCCGCCTTGGACAGAGGGCTGGGCTGGGCTGGGTGCGGCCGTGGGCTCTGCCCTGCGTGTCCGGCAGCACCAGCTCCACCACGAACTCCAAAGCCCCCTGTTTCCTGGGGGCTCCCTGCTTCCCCTCTCCCACTGGGCTCAGGTCCCAAAGGTCTGGCCAGTCCCAGACGCTCCCCCCGACCCCACCACCTCCACTGCCCTCCCAGGACCCTGACCAGCCCCTGGCGGCCTGAGGTGGATCCAGAAGACGGTCCCTGCTGTCCTTAGCCTCCAGGCGCCTGGCAGAGGGGGCTCTGGGCACACCGCTGACCTCAGGCCCCAGCCTCTGGGGCCTCCCTCTCCTCCCGAGGGAGGCACAGGAGGTGGGACAAGGTGAGCCCCGTGTGCTGGGCACCTACGCGCCTCCTCCCCGATGGACAGAGGGCCAGATGGGGCAGTGACACGCCCAAGGCCACCCAGCTGGGAGTGCAGCGGAAGGACTGGACCACACACTGCTCCTGAGAAGAGGGGCTAGAAGGGGGGTCCCAGAGGTGGGGTGGGCCACCCCTCGACAGCAGCAGCAGAGACCCCCCAGGCAGCGCCTCCAGACCCCCGTCTCGGGGAGGGTTCTGGCTGAGCCCCACCTTGTGCCATCCCCGCATGGCCTTCCCAGGTGGCAAGCCAGGGCACCACTCATAATTGGCCTCATTAGGCGGCTGGGCTGCCCAGGGGATGGGGGGAGCGGATGCTGGGCCCCTGGGGACAGGCCAGACAGCCTCCCGTTAATTACCTGAAAAATCAGACAATTAGGCCTCCTGCCACCAGCCTGCCCACGTCCTGCTGGCCCCTAATTACCGACGGCTGTGAGCTGGCCGGGAGTGACCTGGATTTCCACGGAGGACCAGCCACTGCCGTCTCCCTCCCCCGCCCGCATCCATCACTGCCCACCCACTCTCGCCTGCTGAAGGCAGCTTGGCTCGGGGAGGGGAGAGAGGAAGCCTGAGCCCTGAGCCCCTCAGGGACGGGCGGGCTGCTGAGGGGGCGGCAAAGACCCAGCAAGGGCTCCGGGAGGCCAGGTGTGGGGTGTGAAGTGGCTGACCTCCCCTCAGCCCGGCTGCTCCCGGGGAATAATCCTGGGCTGTGTTCAGGAGTAGCAGCAGCAAAGAAGAAGCTGAGAGCTCTCCCTGGGCGCGGCCCAGCCCAGAGGATGCTGGGGGCCTGGGCCTAGCCCCGGGGAGCCCCCCATCCCCAAGGGGGACACCCGGACAGAGCACACCCAGGGAGGTGCAAACAGAGGGGCCTGGTCTGGCCGGGGTGGTCCTGACAGGCCAGGAGCGTTGGTCCAGGCAGAGGGACAGCACGAGCGAGGGAACAGCGTGCTCTGAGCACAGAGAGCAGCCCCCTCCGCGAGCACCGGCCATGGGGTAGGGGCAGCTAGACTGGCCCGGGACCAGGAGGGATGAGCAGGGCTGGGTGGACACAGTGGGGTCTAGAGGAGGTCAGAGGGGTCAGGTTAGGCAGAGGCGCTGGCCCTCAGCCTCCACGCAGGCAGGGCCTGAAGGAGCAAGTCCGTGTGGGGTGCAGGCCCACTAGGCCGCTGCAGAGAGCATGGGGCCGCCCCCTCCACAGCCCATTTCCTCCCCTGGTTTCCTGTGCTGAACTGGAGTCTCTTCTCTCCTGTCTCTGGGGGACTTGGAGAAGGTGCCACTGTTCAGAGGGACACCCCCAGTCCAGAGAGGTCAAGAGGCTGGGCTGAGGTCACCTCGCCAGCTGTGGGGGTGGAGATGGTGGCCCCGCCAGTGAGGGGCCCCCCGTGGCCAAGTGCTCCCTCTGCAGGCGCTGTGCTATGCGCCGGGCCCTCGGACGGATGGACGGACGGGGATCTGAGGTGAGGCTTTGCCTGGACTGGCCACCTTTGCCGCAGCCTCGAACCGAGGCCTCCAGACTCCTAAGAAGCGCTCCTCTCCTGCACCCCATCTGAGTCTTGGGGGAGGCCAGGGAAACGGGGAGGCACTCATGCACCTAGACAGCCTGCCCCCAGCCTCAGTTTCCCCGTCTACCCAGGAGGCCGTGGTGGAGCCATGGAGAAGGGGCCGGGAAGGCCTTGTTAGCTGCCTTTCCTGTGTGCTGGGCCTTGAGACTCCGCGTGGCCCGAGGCCAGGAGCTGGAGCACGGTGCTCCTGTCTGTCCCCTCCCACTGACCCGGGCTGCTGACAGTCTCTGCGGAGCTGCCGTGTGTCCACGGCCAGCGTTGCCCTGGCCGCCCAGGTATCTCCTGTGAAACACACTGATTTGCTGCGTGGTGATGACCAGAGGGATGTGGGGCTCCTGCCAGGTGCTCCCCACAGAGTCAGGGCCCCGTGACACACGTGGGCACACACGTGCACCCAGCCCTGACCGCCCGCCACCTCGGGGCCCAACGTGGCTGCAGGTCACTCCTCAGGAGACAGGCCTCGCCCTGTGCAGCCCCCGGGGCGCTGTTCCCACAGACGCAGGGATGGCGGTCCCAGGAGAGCCCTGCTTACCGTCTTCCTGTTCTTAGTCCCTTGGTCAAGTGCTTACACCTTCTGACCTTGGAGGGCAGGCCTGGGCCTCGCTCACTGTCACCCCGTCACGGAGGTGGGCCCAGCGTGTGACACATAGAGGGGCCCTGCTACTGTAGGCAGGACTGGTGGCTGATGGAGGCCTGAGTGATCGTCCAAGTCCTCAGCCAGCTGGTAGCAGGTGCAGGACTTGAACCTGGGTCCTGGGCTCTGCATGCTGCATCTCACATTCGCCCTCCTGACCCCTCAGCCAGGGTCCCCTGCAGGATGTAAGGGTATCTGAACGCCCCCATCTGAGCCCAACCTCGGCCGGCCCCTGGGCAGCCTGGATCCGCAGGTCACAGGCGGCCTGCCTGCCCCTCCCCCTGCAGCCTGGCCGGCCCAGGCGGAGACCTAGCGGAAGGTCACACTGCCTGGGCCAGGAGAAGTCCGCCCTTTGACCTCATGTCCAGGGGCCAGAGCTGGGCAGAGAACACAGGTGGGAGAAGAGTGGAAGGAAGATGAAAAGGGGGTCCCTTACACCTCACCTCTCCCAAGACCCAATGAGGGAAATGTGAGGACCCGCACCTTTGGGTGGGGGTCCTTAGAGGCCAGGGAGGTGGGGGAAGACAGGCCTGAGTCAGCCTGCAGGTGGCCTGTCCCTAGCCAGCTCGCCACCACCTCCCTGCACCGTGCGAGTCAGCCAGACCCAGCTACACCGCCCTCCTGGCCCATCGCTGAGCGCGCCAGTGGCTGCTTTCTCTGCAGCCTCAGTGTTGCCATCCAGAACCAGGCGGACAGAGATCCAATGAACAGGCCCCAGGCATTGTGGGTGATCCGCACCCGCTGGCGACTGTGCACTGCCCGTTGGGCTGTCGGAAAACTGAGGTCTGGAGAGGTAAGGTGATATCCCAAAGGCAGCCACAGCACCATGACCCGCACCCTCGCCCCCTGGTTTGCGGCAGACCGGCTCCAGCAGCGTCCAGGCAGCTGAAATCTGTGGTCTACCCTGCGTGTGGGGAGCCGTTCACATGTAGTCAGGTTCATTTGACGGTGTGGGGCAGGAAGGGGTGGAGGGGCCCCGCCCTGAGTGTCTGTGGGGTTCTCCTCCACACAGACTTCCTGCTGGAGAGAGCCCGCCGCCGCCCCCCTCCGCGATGCCACCGGGGTCAAGGCCAGCCTTCACCCCAGCTATGCTCTGGAAACACCGCCCTGGGGGGCAGGCCTGGAGAGAAGCGGGTGAGAGAGGGCCACGTGCCCTTCCGCGTCCTGCACCCCAGCCCTGCCAACCCTCC